CCAGATATGTACCCGACCCTCAGGTGGAGATGGCTAAGGCTTTTGGTAAACTTCTCTCGTAATGTTTTGTCAATAGATCCAGTATTTCAACCTATAGTTTGTTTTTGCCCCCTTATTAGAGCACATACAAAACAAAATACTAAAAGAAAGCTAACAATCCGGATGAATTCAACCATCCAACTAAGTACCAATACTAGAAAAGGAGAGTACAAATGTATCAAAACCCCCCAACCATTTTCTACGCTACCATTGGTTCCGACCATGGAAAGAGAGAGCCCCCCACCCCGGGCCCAAACTGAGTACAATCCCACATGCATGTAACATAATCACCATCGTTCCAAAAAAAAAAACCCTACGAGAAGGGAGCTTAAAGTGCGGAGGCCTGCCTGAAAGAAGTGAAATTGTGCCGAGATTTTCCCAGGCACCCCATCAACCCCTAGACCACAGAAACTCAGTCACAGCCCAGTGGGCAAACGAGAGCACCCCGCAACTACCTCGTGCAATTGGTCAGAGCAGACTGCGCCGCTCTCTAGGCCCCTGTCGCACTTCGCACCCCCATATAATCATTACATTAACCTATGCAAACAGTATCTGAAACATGTTGTATCATAGTGGATTTAGCACAGTGGTTCTCAACCTGTGAGTCGGGACCCAAAAGTGGGTCACAACCCACTGTTGAGGGGGTCACCACATGCTTTGTGCTGCGCTAGGTAAGAGCCTCCTCAGCCACCTCCTAGAGCAGCAGTGTCAGTTCTCTGCAGTTCTCAGCACCGGCAGGCATGGAGGATCAAAGAGAGGGGAGCGGGCAGGAGTGAGGGGAGTTGAATGCCAGCTTGACCACCAGAGAGCCCCACACTGGCCACCAGAGAGCCCCACACTGGCCACCAGAGAGCCCCACACTGGCCACCAGAGAGCCCCACACTGGCCACCAGAGAGCCCCACACTGGCCACCAGAGAGCCCCACACTGGCCACCAGAGAGCCCCACACTGGCCACCAGAGAGCCCCACACTGGCCACCAGAGAGCCCACACTGGCCACCAGAGAGCCCCATTGAGCTCACATGAGCCCACACTGGCCACCTGGGAGCCCACACAGATACTAGTATTAATGCATTCCTAAATGTTACCATTGGGGGTCACCACAACCTGGCAAATGTTACCAAGGGGCCCCAGCCCTAGAAAGATTAATAACCACTGATCTAGCAGGACAAGGCATCTATCACAGAGTAACATGCTATCTCTTCTATAAAGCACCTAAGAAAACTAAGACCATCTGTGTCTGCACGTGCCCCGTCCACTTAAACTTAAAACTTCACACGGAACCACCCTTCGAGACACGGACCCCCTATTAACAGGGCTCTGTTTTTGGCTTCTGTAGTCCCTCAAACTTCCTGTGAGCAGCGGCCAGAGCCAGTGTACTCTAGTCGAGGACACATCCTGACAGGATCTGCGGCTCTACTGCAAACGAGGCCGGAAGCAAGGAGACCGCAATGAGCCCTCCGCCGGATCCATGCAGTCAGGTACCTCAAATTCTTCCACCTCCAGGAACGCGAATAATGCGGGCAGTTGTTTGGTAGTGAATAGGGTAAACTGTTAACCCCCTTTCTTGATCACCACATGAAAATGGTGTCCGCAACGATATGTCACCCCCAAATTTGGAAGGCGCTGAAGCAAGGACTGCATAGCCCTTATCAGCAGCGTGCGTCCGGAGATGTCCGGCCAGAAATAAATTTGCGCTATCAAAGTCCCCTGTCTTCTTTTGCCAGACTTTTCTCATCAGCTCCTCCTTAACTGAATAGAAGTGGACTCTGCACAAGACATCTCTGGGAAAGACACTGTCGTTCTCCCTTGGCCCTGACACGCAGTGTAATCGGTCTATCTCAATGTGATTCATCACAGGCAGTGCAGTTAAGCAGTGCAAGAACTGTGGCATGAAGGTTGGGGCCCTCAGTCGACTCAGGCAAACCCCGGATCCTGATATTGTTTCAACAGTTCCTGTTGTCCCCATCGTCTTACCTTCGGTTGGAGCTGAGTAAGAAGCTGACTGTGTTGATACAGGGACGCCTCAACAGCAGCCACTATGATTGCTGTGTCTGTAGACGGATTCTCCACTTCTGCGATTCACGGCTCCGCGGCCAGCACTTGCTGGTGCACTCCCTCGATTTGTTTAGACAGAGTGCCCTTGATCCTGTCCGCCAGTGAATCGATAGCAGCCCTAGTAGGCAGAGCTGCTATGTCCACCTTCGTCAGCATAGCCGCCAACAGATCTCTGACACTGCTAAATGATAGTGGTACCTGTTCCTCCGACACACGGGAATCCACAGACTCCGCCGGTGACAACGGGCGGAAAAGGAGAGGTTGATACTGAGACTCAGCAGTCAGTGTTGTGGCAGATAGGGAGCCGCCATACCCACTTCGGCCGCCACTATCTTGATAGGCAGCGCGAGTGCCCGAAGGCGCAATTTTCGGAGAGGATCAAGGTAGGCCCGCCATCAGAGAGGGGTAATAATCCCGTATGACCCGAGTATTGCGAACCATGGTATTCCTCTGCGTCTTTGGGGGCTTCTGATTTCTAGGCATGTGGGAAAAAAGATCAATAATAGTTCCGTTATCCTGTAACAATTCGGCCCGGTAGTACGGAGCTTTCAAACATGCGGCTTTACAGCGCCATGGTCAGGACATGCCCCTCCACTTACCACATTGGACCATTTAGAGAATGTGCCATTTATCCCTACCGTCTGGATGTGGTCCTGCAACCAGTTTTCTACCCATGTTCATATTGGTTCTTCAATGCCCATCGACCTTAGTTTGTATACTAACAAACTAAGGTTTGTTAGCGTTTGTGGGGTACTGTCTCTAACGCATTTGTAAAGTCTAGACAGACTAAATCAACTGGGATTCCCCTGTCCACCTTACAACTTACGTCCTCATAGGATGTTAACAGATTTGTCTGGCAAGAATGGCCTTTCATAAATCCGGAAGGCTGTGATGATACAACTGGGGTGGACACCCCAGTTGTGATGATACGACTGGGGTGGACTCAGTCCACCCCAGTTGTATCATCACAGCCTTTCCTCTTCATACAGAGCATTATCTACATATGATACTTCCAGGGATATTAGATAGAACAATGTGACCCACTGGATTACTTTGCTTTACATACTTTCTTTCCCTTTAAAAGGTTTTTGACTTCTTACTTAAGGACAATTAATGGTTATCCTCTATGGATACTCAATGTATTTCATTTACTATGTGCCACTATGTGTTGCTATAACATTGGTTTAGGAATACGGAAGGGGAGCTCATAATCTGTCAATACCTTTAGAATTATTGTTATTTTCGTTGTATACATTGATTGCCATTATGTAATTCCATGGATCTGTTCACTATATCACATGACTAGGTGGACCAATGGCGTTGGATTACTGCATTCCGCTGGAGCCTGTATTCTCTGCACAGCCTCGGCCCTCTAGTTCATTATGCGCTTGCGTGAGTGAATGGAGGGGTGGTACTACCCAAATAGCTTGAGCCGCAGGAAAGGACTTCCATGAGCTCCACACGGCGCTTGCGCTGGTGGCGTGTCTAACGTCCCGCTCAGCGTCGGGTATCCATGGCAACCGAGTGTGAAGTTGACGGCGGTGCAGAACCCGCCGGTTTTCCACATGCTGCCATTATGCAAGTCGATCGTTTGTTTACCAATTTTAAATCTGACATGGTGGGAAACCTGTACTGATTATGCAATAAGGGGTGGTACTTGATATGCATTTCATGGGTCACTTATCTATATATGTAGGCTTGGGTGCACAGTGTGTTATTCTGAGCCTGATGACAGGGACCCTGCGTGGCCCCGAAAGTACTTGCGATTTGAATGACCGTTGTCATTAAAATGGACATTTGTTGAATCTACTTATTGGAGTGCTGGTGACATTTTGTAGTATCTACATGGGAGTGGGGACTTAAAACAATTTTTTGCCATTTTTTTTATGTTACTTTTTTTTTTTACACAACTTTATTGCTATCACATCGGGGGCTAACAAGCTCTCTATGTAATAGCAAATATGATGTGACAGGTCCTCTTTTTGGAGACATCAGATGTCTTTCAGACCCCTAATATCACCTAGGGATCCCAAAGAAGCTGATGAAGCAGAGATCTGCTTCACCAGGTTCTTCTCCTGGCTCTAAGAGCCGGAGAATGTGCACAGTGACACCGGAAGTGATCTAGTAGTGGGTCTAGTGATCGGAGGAGAGATCAGGGGCTAGAAGTTTGCTGATCTCCCTCCAATCTGTCAGGGGAGACCGGCTGTGTCAGTCCCGCCCGGGGAAACTGGCGGTGGAGGGGGGGCCCACATTCTGCCGCACCATGCAAGCGATCCGGTGGCTATATAGCCTGATTACTTGTATCTAAACAGCAATTGCCTACTGTTTAAAACCACTTCAGGAAAGGTCGTTTTTTGATGGTGGGCTGTCCTGAAGTGGTTAAAATGCGTTATAAATAAAGCTTGATTTTATTTTTATTTGTTTGGTGGATATATTATAACATTTTGAAGATGTTGAACAGTTTAAATGTTTAAAAACCCTTTTATTTTACAAACAAGGAAGGCTTTTAAATACATTGCTGAGGGGAAAAAAAAACATCACACATCTGCATATTTAAACTCCAAGAAATACAGTAAGCACAATGTTCATATTTCACATACACTACCCCTTAAAACCAAACAGGAATACATGAAGCACTGAAAACCTTACCTTATTTTTAAGTTAAAAGACCCTGAATCTCCTAGGTAAACAGATAAAACATTTTAGTTACCAGCAAATTTTATATCAGGAATACTGAGAAAAGGTTTAATTTGTGTTGGAGGAAGGGACATTGTAGTAGGAAGGAAAGGAGAGAATAGGAGGGGAGAGAAGGAAAGTGGAATAGTCAAGAACATATTTTGTAAGCAACTTTTTTCTATTACATGATATGGTATATGGTATTGATAAAATGAGACCACCTAAATAGTTGTCCAGCATGTGCTTCTTTATCATATATAGTTTAATAGCAATGAAAGTGACTGCAAAAATGGCACCCAAACAAGCTCCAATAACTGCATATCGTATATCTAAAAAAAAAAAAAAGAACAGTCCTGTGTTATTGTGGCGACAACAGTAAGCATGAGATTTTGCACTCCTATTAAATTAAGATTGGAAAGCTTTGCGCTCCAAAATGCAATCTTTAGGTGGGTTATTTAAAAGGAAAAGATAGACTGAATGTATGACAGAAGCTCCAAACTTATTACCTTATTTGTGTATCACTCAAATGGCTGTAGATCCTCAAATCATCTCTGGCAGGGCAGCCATCAGAAATTTTGGGGCCCCTTACACCACATTCCAAGTAGTAGTGACAGGAGTACATTCCCGCACAGCGGCCACGACATACAGCTGTCACTGTCAAAGAGTTTACTGTGGTTCAGTGTAAAAAAAACGGCACACTACTATGCCGGTTTTTTACACTGAACCCCAGTAAACTCTGTGACAGTTGTATTTCCCGGCTGCTGTGCGGGCATCATAGGCATCTATGAATGATGACCGCTTCGTTAGTCGGCCTCCTCGGCAGCAACGTGTAGCTCCTCCCACTCTGTTCACTATGATAACCTGTCTGTATTGATCTCCCTATGTTCACCAGCTGGAGCTACTGGCTGATGACCTTTTGATTGTCTGATCACACTTTGGACACTACAGTGCATTGTTATTTTATTTTCTTTATTGCTTAATTAGAACTAACGACATCATCCTCAATTGGATATTAATTGATCAACTTATATGACTGTTTTACATTTTCAATCTAGAACACCTCTAGACCTGAGGAAGCGTGGTGAAACGCGTTGTCGTTATACTCCACCACATTTTACCGCTCCTGAATCAAAAGCTTTGAAACTACAGTTCTTCTAAGATCATGTACAAAATTAAATATTATATTAACATGATGTAACGCACTAACGACTGTCAATGGTTGATAATATCAATTGACTCAACTAAGAGAACAATTTAATGCCATGATAGTACAAGTGCTTGAACAGCCTTAATAACAGGCCATACCCAAACCACCTTGTTGAAACGGATGGTCCTAAGTACCTATAAAACCCTATCTTCGCTCCGTTCTGATCACACGGAAGATAAACGAATGAACTCAGTAGTTGTCTAGTCTGATCAATAATATCAACCACACTGTAGGGGGTGCGACCTACAAATGAATTTATTTGTATGAATCAACTAAATGAATTATATCCATGTATTTATAAATCAACTAAAGCTCAGGATTCTGGTGGAGGTTGAAGGTGTTCCTCTTGAGCTGCTTCTTCTTTTTTATAATATGATCTCTTTCTTTTAAGCATGCATCTAATAAAAGTTATATTTTTTTATATGAATTACCGTCTCGAGTGCCTAAAAAACCCCAACTTCCAAAAACCTCTTTCTTGCAATATAAACTAGGGGTGTGGCACTCCCTATCTAACACCGTTCCCCTCCCTTTCCCTCTCCCATATAAGCTACGTTGGACATGGAGGATTGGGAGGAGATCTGGACTAATGCTAGTAAGACCTCTATTTGTACTTTATATCAGGAAAATCAGTACAAGATTCTTTATCACTGGTATCGCACCATGGACTTGCTACATCACATGAATCCTTCGCTGCCATCTGTGTGCTGGCGATGTATGACCTCAAGGGGCAGCCTACTGCATGTATTCTGGGAATGTCCCAGGATACGTCCGTGATGGACTTCCTGATACCCCGACTGGGATGACGGAAGCCAGGGTTTGCCGAGGAGTAGAAGAACTTAATGTGAATAAATCACTGGGACCAGATAACTTGCACCTGCAGGTGCTTAAATAGCTAAGTTCCGATGATAGCAAGGTTATTGTTCCTAATTTTTAAGGACTCCATACTGGCTGAGGAGGTACCAGCTGATTGGTGTAATGCAACTGTTGTACCAATATTTTAAAAGGTTTGAGATGCGTACCTGGGAATTATAGACCAGTCAGCTTAACAGCCATAGTATGCAAGTTATTTGAGGTAATGATAAAGGACCATATTCATGAATATGCTTATGGGCATGATATCATAAGTGACAACCAACATGGCTTCAGGAAAGACCGTTCATGTCAAACCAATTAGCATTCAATGAGGAGGTGAGTGGCAACCTAAACAGAGGAAATCCAGTGGACGTAGTGTACCTAGATTTTGCAATTGCATTTGATGCCGTACCTCATAAATGTTTATTTTACAAGCTTCACTCTTTGGGCATTGATGAAATGGTGTGTACTTAGATCGAGAACTGGCCATTGCTGTTCAACCTGTTTATCAGTGATGTTGGGACTGATATTAATAGCAATATTTCAGTTTTTTGCTGACGATACCAAAGTTGGTAGGGTAATACACACGACAGAAGACATAGAAATATTACAGCAATATCTAGATAAAATATGGGTGTGAGCATCTACATAGCAGATGACGTTTAATATCAAGAAGTGTAAGGTTATGCATTTTGGAGTTAAAAATACACATGCAAGCTACTCATTAATGGGCACTCCACTGGGGGAATCAGAGGTGGAAAATATTTGGAAGGCCTAGTGGATAGTCGCCTTAGTAACAGCATATAATGCAAGGTATCAGCGAATAAGGCAAGCAGGGTACCATGATCGATAAAAAAGGGAATGTATAAGGACAAATCCTTTATTCTGCCCCTTTACAAAACACTGGTTCAGCCACATCTTGAGTATGCGGTTCAGTTTTGATCACCGATCCACTAAAAGGATATCCTCGAGCTGGAGAGAGTCAACAAAGATAATGAAGGGGTTAGAGGACCTAAACTGTGAGGAAAGACTGCATGCATTAAACGTGTTCACTCTTGAAAAGAGGAGACGATATTAATGAGATGATATTAATGTACAAATGGTTTAATGGTGATGGAATAATCAGTAATAAACTGTTTACTGTTAGTTCAGTCAAGAATGCAAGAGGCCACCATCTGAAATTGGAAGAGAAAAGATTTAGAGGGTTATTCACTAAAGACCCAGGCATTTTAGGTCTGGTAGGAATTGTAAGGGGGAACTCCACCCCCCAAAAATGGGGGGGGGGGGAACATGGGGTCCCCCTAAAATTCCCAAACAGACCCTGGCAAAGCA